ATCTAACCTGTTCAGGCAAGAACCTATCATGTTCTGATATTTTAGGAGATTGTATCAGAATAAAACTTCATGCTTTATTTCCTTACATTTTGTTGTTGTTGTTAACTGCCATTTCTTTACCTTTGTCTTTGCTTAAAAGCAAATATTAGTTTTCTGTTTTTTTTTAGTTTTTTTTTTTTTTTTTAAATGCCACAGCAATTCAGACAGGTGCTGCTTCTGCAGTTCCTGATGTTTTTGGGGGTATCTTAGACACACTCAGAATATTAAATTTTAATTTGAGAATCAGTTTTAACATAAAAAATTTCACTTAACTAAACTGGGACAAAGCTGGCATAACCAACTAGCAAGTCATTATGTTATAGTAATTGCCAGCTCCATCTCTAAATGGGTTTTTATACCATTTCATTTAAATCGTCTATGATTTTGCCATATTTTCCCCCTTGCTTAACTTCACCTATAGTAAATAATCCATACATTTAAATCAAAATTTGGGCTATAAAATTTCAATGTTTTGGGGCTCCCCATGCATCCAAGCAATTCTCTGTGACACCAGCTGGATATCCTACAATTCAACTCAATTCTGACACTTACTTTTCTGAAATAGCATCAGATACTACAAGTTAGGGACTCAGTTCTACAAGACTGTTCCTATCCCACCCTCTCAAATGCCAGTTATAATTACAAATTGTCATCTGTTCTTCTAATGGATTGGCTAATAGGAGGTTCCTATGACCCCCTCTTTGGTTCTATTAATCTGCTAGAGTGGCTCACAGAATTTAGAGAAACATTTTACATACTGATTTACCAGTTTACTTTAAAAGTATATAACTCAGGAACAATCAGCTGGAAGAGACTCATAGGGCAAAATATGGGAAAAGGGCTTGGAGCTTATATGCTCTCTCTGAGCATGATACTCTCACTGCATTTCCACATGTCCACCAGGCAGAAGCTTTCCAAACTCTGTCCTTTTGGGTTTTTATGGAGGTCTTAATACATATTTAATAGAAAATGTAATACATAGGCATGATTATTAACTCATTGGCCATTGGTGATTAATTCAATCTCTACCTCCTCTCCTCTGTCCCAGGTCAGTGGGATGGGAATGAAAGTTCCAATCCTCCAATTGCATGATTATTTCTGCTGGCAAACAGTCCACATCCTAAGGCGCTTCCAAAAGTCACCTCATTAACAAAACTCAGGTGTGGTAGAGAGAAGTTTGTTTTGAATATTAAGGCACCTTTATCGCTCTAATCACTTAGAAAATTCTGAGGATTTTAGGAACTCTGTGCCAGAAATGTTATGAAGACAAAATATATATTTCTACTTTTAAATCACAATATGAAGGCTATTTTGCTCAAATTTACCTTGCTTTAGATAAACTTTCATTTTGTTGGTGTAGTATGAATTGCACCATAAAGTTTTAGGATGGTTTTGAGTACATCAAAGAAGTATGCAATTATATGTTTTATAATTATCAGTTATAAGTTTTTGTAAGTTTTACTTGTTTTTGATTTTTCAATGACCTGTAACACACATACTTCATATTAAGAGTTAAATGCAATCTATTGATGATTTTCTATTCAAGATTATAACATATCTTTTAAATCACAGCTCAAATAAGGTTAAATACTGGATATCCAGAGCTATTGAACCAAATCAAAACTATGTATTCTTCCCATTCAGAGCAACTACAATTTGTTAATATACAATTATCAGAGATATTATCACATTTTTAAAAAGCTATTTTTTTTTACAAAATTATAATTTAACTGAGTTTAAATAGAGGAAGGGTTTATAGTGGTAGGGAGAAGTTCAGAATTATAATTAAATATGTGTATCTAAATTTTGAGTTTAAATATGTTTAATGTAAATATATTTGCACAATTAAACAGAAGCTTATTAACTTATGGAAACACATCTTTACTTTTCATGAATTTCTGAATAATGTAGTAGATTTTAAATGACAGAGCTGATCAGCTCCTTCCTTTCCCTTTGGCTGTCACTTTCCTCCTTGCACAATATCATTCTTTATTGGAGTCTCACACCCTTATCCAAGATTTCATTCATTTCATTCCATTAAATTTGATAAACCAGGCAGAGGATCCTCAAAGTGACAAAAGAAGTTAAGTACAAATTTAATCTCATTCTCATTGTTGTTACTTGAATCACACCAGTTTTGCTTTTAAGAATTTCCAGTGTGCTTTATCTAAGAAGATGTGAGGAAAGTGTTTTTTCTCTTTCAACAAACCCATTCCATATTGTTATGTGAGTATTTTAAAATTCTTCCTTTTTCTAATTATTTTATTTTCTAAAATTAAAAAGTTTTCTTTGTTGAGGTGTAAACCATTCCAAGCTTTTGGTTTAATTATTAGCTTCACAAATAGTATATAACCTTAACCAATAATTAGACAACTGTGAATAGCACAGAATTCCGACAGACCAGTTTCACCAGTAAAAGCCTTCTTGGGGAACGTTTGGTGCATTCTCACAATGAGATGGAGCCAGAGTGATTTTTCTGGTAACTACATAGCTAGAAACGATGAACACCTTATAATATAAAACCTGCTTACTGATTTCTGGTAATTTCATTTTTAAATTTTCCTTTTAGGCTTACTGCAGCCTCAGATGGTTTTCATTTGTGTAGCAATTTTGCATTTGAGATCACTTTGACCTTTACTCTCTTATTTGATCTTTATTAAAACCTGGTGAAATAAAAATGAACACTAATAGAAAAATAAACTACCCTCAAGAAGGCTAGGTGACTTGCCCAGAGTCACATTTGTTGAGAGGCCAGGTATTGAGCCCAGACTTCGAGTTCTCTCTTCTTTCTGTCACATGCACACTGTCTCTCCACAGAACCTTCAGAAACACACTGATTTGCAGTCCCTTGTATGTTTGTTTAAAATATGTTTTTATTGAAGAAGGGAGAGAGAAAAAAAAAACATTGATGTGAAAGAAATATAGATTGGCTGTATTTCTGAGGCCTGACCAGGGATGAACACCGAAACTTGGGCATGTGCCCTGACCCAGTATCAAACTAGTGACTTTTTGGTGCATGTTCAACCAACTAAGCAAAAAGATCAGGGAGCCCATGCATATGTTTTTGATATCTGCATAAATAGTGAGAACAGCATAGTTGTGACCAGTCACGATCTACTAGGAGCTAGGTGGATGAAAGGGGGATTGCTAAATTGCTATTATTTGTACCACTTCATAATATATAAACACACATTGGAGTACATTTTATAAACATTTGCAAAGTAAATACTTGCTAGCTCGTATAACTGTACTTTTCTAGTTTTGAAACTCTAGTTCAGTTCTTTTTATGTGAATACTTATCCTGTCTCCTTGGTTGCATGCACTTTTAATTTAAAAATAGGAAAAGGCTTTAGATAAATGTAAATGGGCTGTGTAGGATTAATCGTAGGTCACTTTACCTGCAATTATGAGGCTATTTTTTTTTTTTTTTGCTACTTCCAGTTACAAAGACATATTAACACAGAAAAAAAGCCATTATAAAAATCTTTAATTTCAAAATGCTTTGACTACATTTAAAAATATGCATATTTAAGGTCAATTCATTTTATAATTTGCCATTGCTTGGAACGTGTTTTACTCTTTTTGTGAGTGATCCCACATCTACTTAACAGTCTGAGTAATATTCTCTTTGAATGATTCTCTACTAAGGAATACTTTTTAATAAAAAAAAATTATTAAATAATTTCTTTTTAGCTTTATCAGAGTATAATTGACAAATACAATTTAAATATTTAAATTGCACATTTTGGAAGGACTCCTCCTATTTTATCACCTCACATATTTTATCCTTTTTTTTTTTTTGTGAGACCATATAAGTTGTATTCTCTTAGAAAGAACTCTCTGTCTTTTATATTACACAGTATTATCAACTATAGTCACCACACCATTAGTTCTTCCATTCTTATTCATCTTATATATAATTATATTTGTTTTAGATTGAGTTTATGAAGCTGCAGTTTGTAAGTTAACCATTCTCAATGCCTTTTATTTATAAACAGTTGTGAATTGCCTTCATATTGTGTGTGGATCATTATGCTTGCCCTGTGTAGGTGGGAGAGGTAGGAGAATGATTATTCTGCTTGCTTTTGGAATTCTACTTGATTTTACAAAATACTTAGCAAACATTCCCATCAAATTTATAAATTACATAGCTATTTTTATTGATTTCAGAGAGGAAGGGAGAGACAGAAACATCAATGATGAGAGAGAATCATTGATTAGCTGCCTTTTGCACACACCCTATTGGGGATCAGGCATGTATGTGCACTTAACCGAAATCAAACCCATTACTCTTCAGTCTGTAGGCTGAAGCTCTGTCCACTGAGGACCATGGTAGGCAAACTGCGGCTTGTGAGCCACATGCGGCTCTTTGGTCCCTTGAGTGTGACTCTTCCACAAAATACCAGCTGAAGAAGTGGCATTATAAGAAGTTTAAGTTTAAAAAAATTGGCTCTCAAAAGAAATTTCAATTGTTGTACTGTTGATATTTGTCTCTGTTGACTAATGAGCTTGCTGACTACTGGGCTAGATAATTAGATAGCTATTTTAGGAAGTGCTTTTTTTAAAACCCAGTTTTAGATTTTACATTATTTCAAATGGCAAATATAGGTACCTCTGATATTTAAGTTTTCTGCAAATATAAATATTTCTAATTTTCAAAGAATACTTTCTATTATGAATTCAGTTTTATAGCTCTATGAGGTATACTGAATAACAATATTTCTATCACCAATCTGATGATGAAGAAAGGGAGGAATAGTGATGTTTCCCCCTTCCGGATACCAAACTGTTGCTGACAGAGCCAAATTAGAAGTAAAAAATCTTTCTATTTCACTACTGATCATGCTTTCATTGTTTAAAAAGTCACGACTAGCTCTCATCCCTAAGTAGAAAAGGAAAAAATGAAAAACTATGAAAAAGGCAGTGGGTTTACAATTTAAATGTATTTCTCTCTTTCTTAGGAGAGAGTTATGTGTGTGGGTCTATAGAGCCCTTCAAGAAACTGGAGTATACCAAGAATGTGAACCCCAACTGGTCTGTGAATGTCAAAACCACCTCAGCATCCCGAGCAGTGTCATCACTGGCTACTGCCAAAGGGAGCCCTTCAGAGGTGCGGGAGAATAAAGATTTCATTCGGCCCAAACTTGTCACCATCATCAGAAGTGGGGTGAAGCCACGGAAAGCAGTCCGAATTCTGCTGAACAAGAAGACTGCTCATTCCTTTGAGCAGGTTCTCACTGATATCACTGATGCCATCAAGCTGGACTCGGGAGTGGTGAAACGCCTGTATACCCTGGATGGGAAGCAGGTAAGAAAAGTATTGTGATCTGACCTTGATTTTTCAGGCAAGAACCAGGGATGTGAAGAATTTATGTGGCATGTGGTGGGAATCTGAAACATACATCTATTGACATTTAGAGAGTCGGGTCATTTAATTAACAAATATATAGGTACTGGTCTCGAACCAGTCCAAAGATAGTGTTAGACAGGATTAATCATAGGAATAAAGTAAAAATGCCCATTTCTATAGCTTAAATGATTACTCAGAGATTTCTATTTTTTTAGTTATGAATTATTTAACATAATGGTGCCTTTTAGACATCTAATTTCAATTTTGTTATAGAGTAATTTCTTATAGCCTTGAACATGTCTGAGATTTGGAGATAAGCTCTGACCAGTAGAGAAAAATCTAAATCCTATCTTTTCCCTACATAATATCTTATAAAATTCACTGTCTTAGTAATGTTTACTAGTGAGATTTATTTAAATTTTATAGATTTTGAGTGCATATCTAAGGAATAAAGTATTTCCACCTGATGGCATATTTCTAGAACATTATGCATCTTGTTTTAAAAACATAATTTCAGAATTAAAATGGAGTCTCTTCAGCTATGGAATATACATCAGTTGACTTGGATGAGTAGATATTTTAATGTGAGATGCTCACATGAATTTAAAGAAAATCTTACGTGGACTCTTGTAAAGGTTTGACAGAATCTTGATGGTGTGTTGAATAAAAAAACACTGACATAGGTACAGTGAGATTCGCCAGTCTATGAGATTTTACCAGTATCTTTTTGCTTAAGATCATAGGTTTTTGTGTACTATTTTTGCTTGAAAGTAGTTTTTAATGTGGATCTGTCCAAATGATTTTTAAAAATTATTTTGAAGAATAACTTGAATGATTTTGTATTAAAAATAAAAACTAGATTAATAAATTAAAAGGTTGATCTTGTTAAATAGAATAATATAAGTTCTTGAAGGCTAACATATTCAAACTATGAATTAGAAATAAATGCAAATACTAGAAAGAATGTTAGTTGTGGAAGAATTCTCCCCCTCGGGATCCATTCAAATGCTCTAAATTATAAAATTTATTAGGAAACAAGGAGTAACTGCCAGTTGTTCATTTATATTCATGAATCTTCTGCTTGTCTTATAAAACTTCCCCCAAGTTTCATGTGGATAAAGATTCTGTGTAATGCAACTCCTCATCTAGCTCTAAGAGGGCTATAGCCTGAATGTCACCAATGTAACAGTCATCAAAAAGTCTACTGCTGACTGGTCAGTAAGAGCGACAATAAGATGGTAAAGTTTTGCATTTAAACATTTAAGGTTCCTTCTGTAATGTGTGACTCAACCATTTTGTAGTTCTGCATCTTTGTGTATTGGATTTTCTCAAAACGAGAGTTTAACTGTTTTCATAAAATGTAAAATTTAGAGCAAAGATTACATATTGATAAATCCTCTTCTTCCCTACTTACTTCAGAATTTTGTAGGTTCCAAATTGCTACACATTAATTTTAAAAGTCAGTTTTAGCTATTTTGGTAAACTCTTACATTAACTGATCATTCCTGTATTTAAGAATGAGTTTCTAAAATAGACATTTTGATGTTCTAAATAGTTTTATTCTTTTAAGGAATTTATGTAGTGTATGGCTGATATTGCTGTGGTTTAATAATCCAATGCAATGGAGGGGGGGGGAGTCAAGGTTTAATGTTAAAAGATAGATTCAAACTTCGATTCAGCCACAAGTTATTTATGTTTTTAGCAAATTACCCCAATTGAGCCTCATTGTACTCATCAATAAAATATGGCTTGCCGGGACCGGTTTGGCTCAGTGGATAGAGAGTCAGCCTGCGGACTGAGGGGTCCCGGGTTCGATTCCGGGCAAGGGCATGTGCCTTGGTTGTGGGCACATCCCCGGTGGGGGGTGTGCAGGAGGCAGCTGATTGATGATTCTCTCTCATCGATGTTTCTAACTCTTGGTCCCTCTCTCTTCCTCTCTGTGAAAAATCAATAAAATATTAATAAAAAAAAATAAAATATGGCTAAAATGAGCACCTCCATTTTATAGGATCCTTGAGGGATTAACTATGATAATACATATGAAAGCAATTTTGAATTATAATAATAATATGATAGCTTTATTAAACATTATTCTATCTTTTTAATATGTTTTATTGATTTTTACAGAGAGCGGAAGAGGGAAAAAGAGAAACAATGTGAGAGAGAAACTGATCGGTTGCCTCCTGTACACACCCTCACCAGGAAACAAATCTGCAACCTGGGCATGTGCTCTGACCTGGAATTGAACTGGCAACCTGGTTGGTTTAGGGCAGGGGTCTGCAACCTTTAAGACATAAAGAGCCACTTGGACCTGTTTCCGAAGGAAAAAAACACAAGTGGGAGCCGCAAAACCATTGCGACATTTAAAACAAATATAACACTGCATATATTGTTTCTTACCTTAATGCTATATACCTGATCGTGCAGTTAGCTGTCAATCTGAAGAAAAAAAGGACTTTTTCACTTAACAATGTAAAATATATTTTTGCAAATTAATAGCTAATTAAAATATTTAATTTACCTGGTTAATGGAATTTTTGCTCCTGAACCTCAGTGCACAGTGTCAGCACATCAGGGCTGTAAGACGTTACCTTCATTTTCACACAGGCTTGCAAGTTGTCATCTGTGAGGCGTGATCGATGTTTGTTTTTAATATAGTTCATGTTGGAGAAGACCTGCTCACATACATATGTGGAGCCGAAGATCGACAGGACTCCAAATGCATACTTTTTCTATGTTTATATAAGTGTTGGGAATGACATTCCATGTTTCGAATACAAGTTTGTCCTGTTTGGGAAGATTTTCAATATCACTCCATTTAAGATTCTGAGCCAGAATGGCCTTCTGCGGGGCAACATCCTCAAGAGTAGCGGTCAAGCATTTGAACTTGGACACCCATTTATCTTTGTCGGCTATATCGGCCAGTTCCATCTCAAGATCAGGTTGACTTACACCTGCAAATGCAGTCATATTCAATAGGGATGGATTGATCGCCAGGGGAGTGACAGGGAAGGATAATGTAGTTTTTTCCTCTCTGAACTCACAGAATCATTTCCCAAACGAACTTTGCATTGTGGCGATTGCAAACTTCAAATATTCCAAATTTATCGTATCATGATGTTGTTTGAACTCTCTCAAAGAGGGAAAGTGAGACAGTGTACCTCTCTGTAAATCTTTGACAAACACTGTCAACTTGCGCTCAAATGCCAAAACCTCCTCCAGCATGTGCAGGGCTGTGCCTCCTTTCCCCTGAAGGGTTGTATTTAGTGTGTTTAGATGTGCTGTCATGTCTACCATAAAATGTAATTTTTCCAGCCACTCTGGTTGTTCCAGCTCAGGAAAGGTGAGCTCTTTGCTGGCCAGGAAAGTTTTTACTTCTTCCAAACATGCGACAAAGAGTTTTAGCACCTCGCCTCTGGACAGCCACTGGACCTTGTTGTGGAGCAGGAGGTCAGAATATATGCTTTCCACCTCATCCAATAGCAAACAGAACTAGCAGTGGTTTAAACCCTTTGCCATTATCTTATTAACAATCTGAATGACCGCATCCATCACTTTTTAGATTATCCCACATTTGTAGATATGGCATTAATTTATTTTCCATTGATTTTTAGTGAGAGTGGAAGGAGGCTGGGCCAGGACAGGGATGCTGTGGTTGCCTGGCGACGCTAAGTCGCCTGCAACCTGCCACACAGAATGCTGGGAGTGCTGGAGGCGGGTGGATGTAAGTGATACAGCTCCCCGCCCGCCCCCTGCTATCGGCCCTGCTAGTGTCGGCCCTGCTGGGAGCCGCGGCAATGCTTCAAAAGAGCCGCATGCAGCTCTGGAGCCGCAGGTTGCCGACACCTGGTTTAGGGGGACGATGCACAACCAACTCAGACACACTGACCAGGACTTGAGCATTATTCTAAATGCTTTCTATATGTTAGCATGTCTAATCTTCACAGCTTGATTTTTATACCTATTTAACAGAACAGGATACTAAGGCACAGAATTTGTAAAAAACAAACAAATAAACAAACAAAAACCCCACACACTATAAAAACTAACATGTCTAATACCATATAGATATAAATGGCAGAGTTGGCATTTGAACCAGTCTTTCTCCAGAGCTTGTGTTCATAACAACTGCACCATACCAGATCATATTAAAGAACCAAACAGAAGTAAAGGTATTAAGAAGACTTTTCAAGTGGTTAATGTGTCCAAATATATCACTTGAAAGATTTTCTCTATATATTTTTCTCCTGCTGTCATTCTACTGACAGTTGTATTCAACAATTATTGTTATAGTTTTATATTTATCTTTATTGTTGAAAATATTACAGATGTTCCCCTTTTTCCCCATTGACCCCCTCCACCCCTCTTCCTCCTCAAGTCTTCACTACATTATTGTCTGTGTCCATGGGTTATGCATATATGCATATAAATTCTTTGGGTAATCTCCCTTCACCCCCACCTCCACCCCCTAATCTTGCCTTCTTTCGGAGGTTTAAACTGTTGTTTTTATTTTAGTTGAGCATTCAGTTTGCTATTGTGGCGAAGTTTCCTCCATTGTGGCACGTTCTCTTCTTGATCACCCATGTATATGAATATGAATCAAGAATAGTGAAAAGCTGCAGAGGAATAGGATGAAAAAGTGGAAAGAATATAAAACATTTTTCTAGAGTTCCCAGGAGGAAAAAAGATGCTTCCTCATGGACCCCAGGAGTCTTTAGAATTATTTCTGTTCAGAAGAGAAAATATGCCTTCATGGGCAGTTTGTTAGGATTCATTGACATCCCTGTAGAGACCAAGGCCTGATAATTATCTTAGAAAAAAAATAACCCTTCCTATGTCATGATGCTCTGCCATAGTAAGGATGCTACACGCTGCTGCCATCACCTTACTATGCCCACTGTGGCAGGGGTGTCCATATGCTGTCATAGGACATCACCTTTAAAACTGCTTGTTCCACT